TGGCGGAGAAGGAGGATGAAGGGACGGATCGGCTGATGATGCTGAGGAGAAGGGGAGAGGGCGACACCGTCACATGTAGCACCTCGGCCGTGTCGGGGCCATCTTGGATTTCCTTGGGCCCAACCTGGGGCACAGTAGGAGGATCAACGGACGGAGCATGATGCTGGTGGTGGGGGCGAGGACGGAGACGGTACATGTTCGTATACTCGTACTGGAGGCGCCCCATGGAGTTCATATGTGCCGTATTGGAGCTTTCGTGAGGTGTAGCGGTTTGGGAGAGTTTCTGGAACCAGTTCGGGCCGTGCTGGGGCACTCTCGGGACTCAGCTGGGTCATCTTCAGAGCATCTCCGGCGTTCTGGGGTCACTTGGAGCCCCCGTAGGGCGGTGTGGGCGCCGTATTGCGTCGTGGTAAGGCCCTATTAATGCTGTCTTGGGTCTCTCTGAGGTCCCTCTTGAGCCAGCCGGGGCTCTCGCAAGGCTGCCCTTGGCTGTCTAGGGGCTATATTGGGCTGTACTGGCGCCATCAGGAAAGCCTCTAGGGTCACTGGGTCAGTCATGTGACTTCTTGGATCGTCGTGGGCAGTCTTCGAGGCATCTGGGCCGTCTTGGTTGCCTTGGTTGCCTGCTTGGGCCGTCTCAGAAGCTTGCGGCGCGAACTCATCTTTTTCACGTGTGATCGTGGCCTTCGGAGCGCGGGTTTGAATTGCTTCGCAGTTTGTTGAATTGTTTTTGCTTGCGTTGCTCTTGATTGCGTTGACCTGTAGGCGCTAGATTGCGCCACCTAGATTACACCACCTAGATTGCACCCATTTGATTGCACCTAGATTGCGCCGCACATATTGCAAGACGCTGGCTGACATGTGTCCGTTTACGCAGTTGTCCCGAGGACCCAGCATCAGTCAGTACGTGAGAGGGGTTGCTTTCTAACGAGGCCGGAGGGCTTCTCAGAGGCCCTCTGGCCTTCGAAGAGGCCACCTGTGACCTCGAAGGAAGCTCAGGGAGCTTCGCAGAAGGCTGGGGGCCTTCTGAGCCTCCCGAGGAGGCCCGCCCTTACCAGCCTGGAACCTATCCCTATCCCTATGTTGGGCATCGACTCGTCACGATGGCGATCTTAGGGAGTCCCTCAGTTTCTGAGGGTGCATCCCTAAGATTGTCATCGCCTTTTGGCGTGTCAATCTCAGGGATAGGGATAAGTTCGAGAGGAGGAGGAGGAGGAAAGGGGAGGGGAGGGTGAGGAGGGGGGGAGGAGGAGGAGGAGGAGGAGGAGGATGAGGAGGAGGAGGAGGAGGAGGAGGAGAGGAGGAGGAGGAGGAGGAGGAGGAGGAGGGAGGAGGAGGAGGCAGGAGGAGGGGAGGAGGGAAGGGAGGAGGGGGAGGGGGAGGCGGGGGAGGAGGAGGAGGAGGAGGAGGAGGAGGAGCAGGAGGAGGAGGGAGGAGGAGGGAGAGGGGGAGGGAGGAGAGGAGAGGGGGAGGGGCAGGGGAGGGGAGGGGGAGGGGGAGAGGAGGGAGGGGAGTGAGGAGGAGGAGGGGGAGGAAGGAGAGAGGGAGGAGGGGGAGGAGCAACCGCCACCCGCCGAACCACACCAACCCAACCCGAAGGCTCAGAGTTGTCCTCTATGCCCATTGGGGGGGGCGTTGGGGAACACTGAACAAGCATATGTGCAAGCCGTACCCCCCACCCGAAGTCTGGGCCTTCGGGTTGTGTTGGAGTGGTTTGGTGGGTAGTCTGAGCATGTCTCTAGGCCTCCTAGATGGGATCCGAGTAGATGGGGTCGGAGGATCGCGCCGCATCGCCGATGCACCACCGATGCGGCTCGAAGCAGAGCTAGGTTTTCTCCACGTCGGCGTCGCCGATGCATCACATATGTCGCCGATGCATCGCCCATGCATCGCCGATGCATCAACGATTTATCGGCGATGCGGCGCGATCCTCCAGCCCCATCTACTCCGAGCCCATTTTGGAGGCCTCTGGCATTAAGTCCGACATGTCCCTCTACAGGAGAAATATTCAAGACCAGTCAAAAAAGCTCTGGCGCCGAGTTTTCTACGATGTTTGACGACTGCGGTCTCCGTGTGCTGTCCCCCTATGTTTGATTTCTCGTCCAAGATCCGCCTGCAGGAGGACATGCCCCACCTCACTCTAGCATGCCTGGGCTCGGAGCTTAGTGGGCCCTGGAAACGACAGGGCCGTTCTTTTACCGGTTCCGTTGTGGCGTTTATTTACCGGTTCCGAAGCCGTTTTTGTACCGGTTCCGTCGCCGTTTTTTACAAGTTCCCGCTCCGGTTCCAATCCTGGAGCCGTGCTCTTGCCGTTTCCGGTCGCCGTTGTTTTGCCGTTCTCATTTTCGACATTTTTTTCGGAAACGGTGAAAAAACGGCCTTGCCGATTCCAGGGCTTAGTGGGCCCTGGAAGCGGCAGGGCCGTTTTTTCACCGTTTCCGAAAAAGTGCCCCTTGAAAATGGAAACAGCAAAGAGACGGCGACCGGAAACGGCAACAAAAACGGCTCCCGGATTGCAGCCGGAGCGGGAACCCGTGAAGGAACGGCGACGGAACCGGCAAAAAGAGACGGCGTCGGAACCGGCAAGAAAGCGGCAACACGGAACCGGTAAAAAAACGGCCTTGCTGTTTCCAGGGCCCACCAAGTCCCAGGGCCTTTCTGAGGCTCGGAGGCCGCCCCCCCCCATGGAGGGCCGAGTTCCGGTGGATCGGGCAAGACTCGCTGTCCGCGCCGCCGCGGCCTGTGTCCAACAGCGGCCGCCTGCCCAACAGAAGGCAGAAGGCCGCCTGCCCAACAGCGGCCGCTGTTTTGGTTTGGGGCAACATTTGCTATTGGGCATTGTACTCCAGATTTCGTAATCAAAAGGAGGGGGTCTGGACCCTCCAAGACAAGCCATGTCAGACGCCCCCCCCGTGGGAGAACCCTCCAAAACATCGGCCCCAGACCCCCCCAGGCCCCAGACCCCCCCAGGCCCCCCAGGATAGCCTGGAAGAGACCCCCCCCCCCGAAGTGAGACCCCCCTCCCTTTCTTAACGAAATCTGGAGTACCCATCGTCTCCGTACCCATCTCGGGCGTCCACGTCGGAGGCCCCCCCCCCCCGAGAGGGCCGAGTTCCGGTGGATCGGGCAAGACTCCCTGCTGCTCGTGCTGCACGGCGGCGACGCCGCGGCGGGCGCGCCGGGCCGCGAGGCGCGCGCGCCACGCCCCTCTCGCCCGTCCCCTGCGGGGGGGCCCCTCCTCCTCCTCCTCCTCCTCCTCCTCCTCCTCCTCCTCCTCCTCCTCATCTTCCTCCTCCTCCTCCTGCTCCTCCTGCTCCTCCTCCTCCTCCTCCTCCTCCTCCTCCTCCTCCACCTCCCCCACGGCGGGGCCCTCGCCGCCAGGTGCGGTCCACGGCGCGGGGAATTAGGTCTCAGTTCTGCACGAACGAAATCGAGCCCCGACATCGCCCATTGATCGCCGATGGGGGCCCGAGAGCCCCAGCCTGCCCAGGAATGTGCGGATTCGTCCTCGGAGGCCTATCGCCGATCTATCGGCGATGTATCACCGATTCCAGGTCGATGCATCCCCCCCCCCTATGCCCGCCCCCCCCTATCGTTGCCCCTCAAGACAGGAGGACCGAGGATGATCGAAGATCTGGGGCGGGAGGATTCTCTGCCGGTCTGGTGTCGGATGGGCTCCCGACGGTTCAGGGGTGCATGGCAAAAGAAAGCACATGGCCCCCTTTCTCGTCCTGTCTCGCCGTGCGAGGCAGAACAGGTCCTGGGGAAAAGGGGCCCTCAGGAGGTACTTCGCCGGCTTCGGGCTCCTGGGGCCCTCCACGGGCCCTGGACAGTAGAATTGCTCAGGAGAAAAACCCTAATCAGTGGATGCTTTGAAATGGGATCGATAGAGAGATCGATAAGGAGATCGACCGGGAACCCGGGAACCCGGGAACCTGGAACCCACCGAAATCGGCCCGGAGCCAAAACCAGGGAACCCGTATCCGGGAACCCGGGAACCCAGCCAGCCACCAAAATCGGCTGGAGATTTTCGCCAAGTCGTTCAATTTCCGCCAGGACTCCTTTCTTGCAAGCACTGATTGGGGAACATCGGCTCGGGATGGAGAGCTGGTCGGAGGAGCAGTGCCCGAGGTCCAGGACCCGGTTCCGTCAGCTCCCGCCCGACGAGGTCACCGCGTGCCGACTTTTCGATCGAACAACGAGGGTCCGAAAACCCAGCGGCCAGCTAGTACATCATCCACGCGCTGGTGAGTATGGCCCTGCGCTGCAGCGCACGGAGTCAGCATCGCCATACATGTCCTCATCCGCAGTTGGGGTGGGGCTTCTCGGCGCTGCCAGCCTACCCTTCTGGAGGGGGAGATGGATCCCGCAAGCACCGCCGGAGAGGCCCCCTGTCCCCACTTGGGGGTGGTATTGTCGACTAGACGTAAGAGTGACCTTCCGCCGGAGTGACTTCTGGTGCGGGCGCAGATGGGTTCCCAGATGGCTGAAAACGAAACAGCAGCAGCTGCTTGCGCGTTCCGGTTTGGTCCCCCCGCGGCCCCCCAGAAGCCGCGCACCAAAGGTCACTCTTACCCAGGGTCACTCTTGCGTATAGCCGATATGTTCGGACAGCGGGGCGAGTCTTTTTCCAGCGGGGACCAGGATGGGTCCGACGGTGCTGCGCGGGGCAGGTCTGATCCCAGACCCCCATCGGGCCAGGAAGAAAAGATCACCACGGGTGTTGTTTCCCTCTTTTCGGCCTCTGGGGGCCCTCGCTGGGCCTCGGGACTGTGAAACAGCGACTCGTGACGAAAAACCAGTCCCAGGGAATGGATCGAGCCCTCTGGGGGTCGACGTTACATGGCAAAATCTGCAGTCGGGGGGCTGGCATCGGCCCCTTTGAATGCTTTTGCCCCCCTCCGCTCTTCAAGAGTTGCGGGGCCGATCTCGGCGCCCAGTCACCACCTACCCGGGCGCCGGGCGAAGATGACGACCGACCCTTGCTGTATTCGGCTAGGGTCGCCTCTCGCCAGACTGACCCAGACCTGGTGCGGGCCCACAGGGGTCAATCCCGGCATTGGTCTGCACGCTCGAGTCTGGCCCCCCGCTGCCCTCAAAGCAGCGCACCAGAGGTCACCCTGGCCCAGGGTCACTCCTGCGTGCAGCCACTTCGGGGCGAGCGCAGCCAGCGCTCGGGGACAGCGCGCGTCAGAGTGCCCCCGGAAGCCCTCGGAGGCTCTCCGCGCTCGGCTCTCCGACCACCTCGGCTCCTGAGCCTCCAGGCGCCGCCGAGGCAGCGGCAAGGCTGGAGGCTCAGCATCCGAATCCCTCCTTGCTCGTGCGCGTGCGTGCGTGTTCGGATGCACAGGCCCCCCCGTGTCTGTCAATCCTCTCCTGCCACACATTTGCACGCCTGCTCGCCTCTGCCCTGCGCCCTGCCGCCTCCGCCGGGCACGCGCACGCCTGCCGCGGCCGCCGCCCCGCTCCGCCACGCCGCCCCCGGACTCGACCGTCGCCGCCCCGATCTAGGCCCGAGCGAGCCGCTCCGCCCCGCGGGCGGCGCGCTCGCGGGGGAGCGCCCGCGGCTGCACGGCTCCCGGGGGCGGGGAGTGAGCCAGAACCACCGCCGGGCGGTCGACCTTCGGGGCCCCGGGCCGGCGGCGGAGGCGCATATACCAATAGAGAAGGACCCCAAGTCGTGGGGAGGGGGCATGAGTTAGGTGGGCCAAGCATACTGGGGGCAGGGGGTCTTCCCTCACGATGTACCAGACCAGACCGCCCAGAATTATTATCCCGAATGCAGAGACGTGGGCTGCCTTTTCCTTGTGTTTATTCGGGTATGGCGTTCTTTTGTCGTCGATGATGCATTCTCGTCGGGTCCTTGGGGGCTGAGTGTGTCCGTATCCATTGCCTGCCGAGGTCCCCGAAGGCCGGCCCCCCAGGCGGAGATTGCAGATACATCCCCGCCCCGCAGACCCAGGGCGACGAAACCTACACGTACCCACTGCCCCCTGGCCGGGCCCCTGCTGGGGTCCAGGAGTTGTGCATGTACGCCCTCCTGGACAAGCCGGGAGGGCGTCGCGCACAGTGCTGTTGGCTTCAGGACGAGCCTCTGCCCTTTTTGTGTTTTGTCGTCTAGTTGGTTTATTTGTGTTCATGTTGATGGTTTTTTTCTCCGTTTCTTTTCGTTTGGCAAAGGGGAGGGGGAGGGGGAGCGGGAGGAAGGAGGAGGAGGAGGCGGAGAGGAAGAGGAGGAGGAGCAGGAGGGAGCAGGAGAAGAAGGAGGAGGAGAAAGAGGAAGGCGAGGAGGAGGAGCAGGTAGGAGGAGGAGAGGGGACGGAGGCGGGGGAGCGTGAGCGGGAGGAGTAGGAGGAGGACGAGAGGAGGAGAGGAGGAGGAGGAGGAGGAGGAGGAGGAGGCGGAAGAGAAGGAGGGGGAGGAGAAGGAGGAGAGGAGCAGCAGCAGCGGCAGGATGGGGAGGGAGGAGGAGGAGGCGGAAAGGAGGAGGAGGCGGAGGAGGAGGAGGCGGAGGAGGAGGAAGAGGAGGAGGAGGAGGAGGAGGGAGGTGAGGAGGAGGAAAAAGAGGAGTTAGGAGGAGCAGGAGGAGGAGAAGAGGAAAGAAAAATAAGAAGAAGGAGGAGGAGGAGGTGGAGGAGGAGGCGGAGGAGGATGAGAGGAGGAGAAGAAAAAACAAGAGGAAAAAGAGGAGGTAGAAGAGGGAGGAGGAGGAGGAGGAGGAGACAGATTTCGCCGCCCTGATCCACAGCCGCGTCCCGGGCGCCATGCGCGCCCTCGCGGCGGCGGGCGCGCGGCGGTTCGCCGGGGCGCGGCCGCGGGCGGCCGCGTGCGGCCGCTGGCGGTCGCCAGCGGGCTTGCCGTCCGCGACCCGCGGCTCGGCGGCGGCCGCGGGCGCGGAGCCGCTGCGGCTGCCGCCTGAGCCTGGCGCCGCGGCCGGGCACGCGGCCACGGGCCGCCCGTCGGCGCGGCGGAGGGTCACGGGAGGAGGGTTACCGGAGGAGGGGGTGGCCTCGCTTTTGCATGTTTGGGCCCCCCCCGGGGAGGTCCTCGTCGCTCCGGATCTCTGGTCAGGAGGCACCTCGGGAGTGGTCCACGGGGAGTAACTTCATGAAGCGATTAAGGACGCCCCCCCATTCCCTCACTCCTTACTACTGGTGAACGATAACGCATCCAGCACCCGGAAGCGTTATCCTGACGCCCTGAGAATGAAAGGAGGAGAAGGAGGCGGAGGAGGAGGAGGATGAGGAGGAGGAGAAGGATAAGGAGGAGGAGGAGGACGCGGAGGAGGAGGAGGAGGAGGCGGAGGAGGAAGACGAGGAGGAGGAGGACGAGGAGGAGGTGGAGGAGGAGATGGAGGGAGAGAAGGAGAGGAGGAGGAGGTGGAGGAGGAGGAGCAGGAGGAGGATGAGGAGGAGGAGGAGGAGGAGAAGGAGGAGGAGGAGGAGGAGGAGGAGGGAGCAGGAGGAGGACAGGGAGGAGGAGGACAGGGAGAGGTCCACGGAGTAACGGTATCGGTGTCTCTCGGGTGCCCCAGGTCCGGGGCGCGGGCGGCGCCAGCGGCGCCGCCCGCGGCCGCGGCGGCAGCGGCGCCGCGCGCGCGGAGGCGGCGTTCGACCCCAGCGGGGTGTTCAAGGTCTGGCCGACGCTTGCCAGAAGAGGACACGCCCCCTCACAGATGGGGTCCGAGTAGATGCGGTCGGCGGGTCGCGAGGCATCGCCGATGCATCGACGATGCGGCTCGATGTGAAGACCGTGTTTCCCCACGCCGACGTCGCCGCTGCATCGCCGATACATCGGCGATGCATTGACGATGCGGCGCGATCCCTCGACCCCATCTGCGCGGACCCCAGCTAGGAGGCCTGTACCTTACCTCCTCGCGGCGGCTGGATTCGCATCGAAAATCTCGTCAGGACGCCCCCCCCTGGAGAGGTCCAGGGGAGTAGCGGTATCGGTACCTTTGCGTCCCCTCAGTTTTGGGCTTTGGGGACGAAGCGCAGGCGGGGCGGTCGAGGCAGGGCCTGCGGGCCTCTGCGGGGTCGGTCTGGGCCCTGGGCCCTCTGCGGTGTCGAGACCAACCCAGATTACCTGTGGAGGCCAGCCTGGACGTACTACCTCTTGGGGATGTGTATGTGTGTGGTGTCCTGTGTGTGTGTGTGCCTGCGCAGCCCTCTTGCCTGGCTGGCGCTCTGG